CCCATTTCAAACCCAATTTTCAAGGCGCGTTAAGGAGGAGAGCCACAAAATCTAGAGGTGCCCAGGACGGGCTGGCTGGGCGCTGCTAATCTTTAACAAACCCAGAACAACTCGGAACTGAATGCAGCAAAATGTTGAGAGGCAAAAATCACTCGGAGTCTGTTTTCACAGAGAGTCTTTGACCATATTCCGCCTGGCGCCAGAACAAAACACAATTAAACATACAATTAAAAATACAGTTTGCCCTGACACCGTCCTAGTTCGTAACGGCAATTAAGCAATACAAAAGAAGCATTTAGGTTACCTCGCTCATTAACCTTGTCCTGCCCACCCGCCTTTAAATAAATAAAAGAAAAAAATAAAATAATAAATAAATAAAATAATAAATAAATAAAGGAGAAATAAAAGCCGGAAAAGACGGAACGAAAATACCAAATGCTTGAGCGTCTTTGTGGGCAAGTAAAATATTTTTCAGCCAGGGTTTTCCAAGCATTTTCGCACTGACAGAATCACAGCAGTTACCTATTTTATTTATCAATACTGATTTTGGGCTTTTATTCGCTGCTTACTGAAACGTCTTCCGCAAGCAGTGGAAGAAAAGGGCAAAATAAGATCCGTGGTTCGAAGCACTTCCTACCCCACGCAGCAAAGGTACAGGGAGTACCTGAAATTATTGCCGGGGACCAGTCCTCACCGCAAACATGGCACCTGGCCCAGCCTGAAGGCTCGTGTGGGTCTGTGCATCCATCCAAATGACACTCAGTTTTACTGGCCAATTGCACGCTAATCGGGGAGCAGGGAAAAGTGCTCTAAAAAAAAAGGACGTTCCTCCAAGTTTGAAGAAAGTCCCTGGAGTCTGCCAGCTCCCCGCAACGTGGCAGCCACCCCAGGCCACCTTGCATCGCCGAAGGCAGCACCCATGGAAGCCCTCCTCTTCCACGTGGCAAAAAAAAAAAAAAAAAAAACACCTGCCGCTCTGGAATTACTCATGGGCTGAAAGTTAACCACATAATTATTTACCTCGCTAATCCTAGCGCAGGTCTTCCCCCTTCCAAAAATAATAATCTTAACTGCTTTTAGTTCTTCTCGTAACAGCGGGAAAGTTTTGACCAGTAAGAAAGTCTCGCAGGGGCTGGCTGCCTTTTCTCTCTCTTGATGGGTCCACAATGTTTCCATTGGTTTTAAGAGCAACGAGCCAACAGTGAAATTGCTGCTAAGGAAGATTTGTCTGCCATGCCGAAGGTATTACGGGCACTTAGAGGCAAATCTCTGGCTTTACGGGCATTTGCAGGACTAGAGCACCTGGAGGTATTTTAGAAGGATGGTGTGATTTAAGTATGTGACATAATCCCCCCCCCTCCCCTAAAAAAATGCACTCCCCAGCTGTGACCGACACCAAAAACAATCTGGCAAAGCTGTGGAAACCGGGGCCACCCACACTACTCCCCCACTGGAGCTAAGCCCAGGTAGAGCTGGCAATTAAATATTTCTGCAGCACAGGAAAGACGACCGATAACAAAAGGTGATACCCGGCGTGGATGGGTTGAGTCACACAAGCAACCTGAAGAGCGGGGAGGCAAAAAAAAAAAAAAAAAAAAAAAAAAAAAAAAAAAAAAAAAAAAAGCCAACCCATCGACAAATTAAATGAACAAGCAGACCTCTGTGACAGGGAGGTGCTTCGTGTCCAGATGGGGTGTGCAGAGAGGGTATAAAAGCACTCCTGTCCCGGAAAGCCTCATTCCCTCCTTGCGACTTGGCTGCACGAGCATCTCAGGTAAGAGCGGTGATGCTGCACAGCGCTGGGGCTCGGCGCGGCGTTCCAAACTCTGGGGATCGCGGATGGGTTTGGAGCGAGCTGAGCCCCACACCTTGTACTGGGCTGGGGTTTGCTCTGCGGGTGCTTGCGAGCGGGGAAGCGGGGTGAGGAGGGAAGGCAGGGCATGCTGACAGAGAGCAGAGATTGGGACTTGAAGGGAGGCTCTGGGGGGTTGCTCTTCTCCCTCTGGGGGCAAGATGTCTCTGCTTTGGGAAGGCAGCTGTGGTCAACCTGCCCTGCTGCTCTGGATGCTCCCAGCATCTCCGGTTATGGCTCTGGGGGGACAATCCCATGGGGGGGTATCAGAAGTTGAAGCACGGTTTAAAGATGATCGTAGGATCTGGCTAAGACTGGATAAATTCTGATTTCTCTTCCCTGGAAAAGCAGAAGAAGGAAGGGGAAGTCCCTGACAGCTCCTCTCTCCTCACAGGTCACCCCAAAAACACCACGATGTGCTCCCGCCAGGACAGGGACCAGTGCCACAGCCAGGAGCGCTACACCCGCCATACCGGCTGTCACAGCTCCGGGGGCAGCGGTGGTGGCTGTCACAGCTCCGGTGGTGGCGGCGGCTGTCACAGCTCCGGTGGTAGCGGCGGTGGCTGCCACAGCTCCGGTGGTAGCGGTGGCGGCTGTCACAGCTCTGGTGGCAGCGGTGGTGGCTGTCACAGCTCCGGTGGCAGCAGCGGTGGCTGTCACAGCTCCGGCGGTGGTGGATGCCACGGGCAGCCACAGGTCCAGTACCACCAGCAGCAGCAGCAGCAGCAGCAGCAGGTCCTCCAGCTGCCCTCGCAGAAGATGAAGTGATGGGGTGTCCCACGCGCCCGGCTCCAGCAGCAAAGGCCGCGCATGGACCAGCTCCATCCTGCCTCCCCAAAGCTTTGCAAGCCCCGGGGCTGCCCGGCCGCACACCCTCTCCTCTGCCCTGCGGGACCATCGCTTCCTGGGGAAGGGGCATCACTCGGGGTTCCCTGCTGCCTCCTCCTGACGCCCCAGGCCGTGCTTTGGCCCCCTGAGGTGCCCATCAGACAATAAAGCATTACATTCCTGAGACCTCTCTTGTGTTGGCACTTCCTTAAACTCCTCATCTTTATTTTCCACGCGTGCTATAGGGACTCAGCTGGATCTCTGAACCCTCATGATGCTCCAGTCACTGGCCACAGTCAGTGTGGATCGTTCCTGGGTGCCCACCAGCTCCAGTCTCCTCTGTCCGTCAGGACCGCCAGGTCCCAGGCGATGGGGAAAACACAAAAACATCTCCCCACCCCACAGCGCGTCCTGTCTGGGCCCTACACCCCAGTTGGGGGGTATCCCCAGTGCCCCCAGACCCCCAGAGCTTTGCATCCCTACCCCATCCCCTCGGGGCTTCCCCACCACAACAACTTTTTTACACAGCTTCCTACACAGGGAGATCGCCGGTGATCACCGGGTGGCTCACAAAAAATCAAGCAGGCATCACGTTGTACAGTTTTTATTGCTTTTTTTTTTTTTTT